CCCCAAAACCCCAAAACCCCAAAACCCCAAAACCCCGAATTTGTACGGGAGGATGAGCGTAGGTTATATAATTAATTGGCCGGTGAGACGGATTAGCAAATGGATAGTTCAAAGCGGAAGGAAGAGAGAGTCAAGATACAGCAAATGGGATTTGATGCAGTGATAAGGAAGACAAAGAAAGAGTTTGTTACTGAGGAAACTAAATCTTTTGAGGAACAGGAATACGAGTTTGTCGGGATATGTCAACTTCAGGATAACCTTCCCTCTTTTAAGATTAGTAATATAATATCAATACCATTTAATATTGATGCTCATAAGAGAGTGTCCATCTGGGGCAAGCATTTTAGCAAGGTGCCAGAATATTTACCTGTAGAATCAGCCAACAGCTTTTTCATCAAATCGAATTCCTAAATTTTCGCCCGAGCAATCAAGGCTCTTACATTCATCATTCAAGCCATATGCTTCTAGTATCTTCTGACTTATGAGCAAAACCACAAAGGAAATCTGATTAAGCACATTCAAGATCTCTAGGAGCTATTACAGGAAGGTATTCATTGCCGGCAGACACTTGCAATTGATACATTTCAGTAATTGCATTTTGGAGGATACTAATATAACTTTGCCAAAGGCATTAGATCTCAAAGTTGAGCAACTAATATATTCTGGGTGCCACTGTATTGATAATTATGGAGATGAATTTTGGTACGGGTCAGGCAAGGAGGCCGATATCCCATTTGCTGATATCTTCGAGTTGATTCAAAACTCAAGTCTGAAGGATACTCTTTCATTTGTTGAACTCCCCGAATCAGTCAATAGTGAAGAAGACGTCAGAAGTATGATTAAGAAATACGATTTTGGGCATATTAAGTTTGAAGGCTCCCATCGGAATTGGAGTATGTTTAAGTTTTACACAATTGACTTCAAGAAAGAAAAGACCAAGAAGCATAAGATCAAGAAAAGCATCAAAAAGGGCTGCATTATTCAATAATCTGATGATTTTCTTATGAATATATTTAGGTGATTTCAGTTATCTTCTCTAGCTAGGGGTTTTGGGGTTTTGGGGTTTTGGGGTTTTGGGG